CCCCCCCCCCCTCCCAGCCCAGGCCTGGATTTACCAGAGGATCTTTGGCTTTAACTAGATGAAAGAGACAATCAGCGCCAGAGGACGCAAAGCTCAGTCGTGGGCGACTGTGGATAAGTGGATAGCAGGGCCGTCTTTCAATCAGAGGGTCGGCGGTTCAATCTCCGGCTCCGCTAGTCGCATGTCGATGTGTCCTTGAGCAAGACACTTAACCCCAAAATTGCTCCCGTAGTTGTGCCTACAGAAATGTGATAGACTCTGAATTGTAAGTCGCTTTGGATAAAAGCGTCTGCTAAATGAGTGTAATGTAATGTTTATACAGATATTAGTGTGTCTGTGTCAAATAAAGAACAATGATGAAGGACATATTCTGCTGACTTTAAAACATGTCACATGCACAATATTATGTAGTTGTGTGCTGTAGATGCTACAAATATTCTTGAAGTAAATTCCTTTACCTTGAAGCTTGCCGTAGGCCACCAGTGAGCCACTGAAGGTGACGCCTCCGATGTAGGTGCCCAGATACGCCACAGTCTTGAGCACACCAGCGGATGGGTGAGTGTCAAGGTGAGGGAACTCAATCATGAACTCGGCAACGCAGGTGAGAACAGCTGCCAGACCCACAAGGCTGTGGAAGGCCGCCACGAGCTGCGGCAAGTCTGAGATTTCAATACGCTTGGCAAGGGTCAGACCTGAGATATGAAGATCCAACAAACAACAGATTTCAGTAAATCTCTGTGAGTTTTGAATGCAAAAGATTGAAAATATTACGTTTTTTTTTTTTTTTTAAAGCACATGGTTAAAACGCAAACACCTGCTTTCAGCAACATGACTCTTAACAAACAGGGCCGGATCTTCAAAGCCAATCTAATGAGTCCTATGTTAAGTATCTAAGTGTGTTTTCTTGAAAACACAAATTTAACATCGAGTAAACCCTCATGCTCTGCTGCCTGCGTGATGAAAACATCATTTATCATCCTGCTTTCTTGAATTACATTAACATGTACAACATTCACACGCGATCACAACATCCACTCATCTTTGTATCTGGACAGGATGATTGATGTTCTGTTATGAATTAGCAAAAAAGAAAAATCACACTCTTCAAAGACCAGAGGAGCCGCATGCGAAGTTAATAAAATGTAACTCATTCATGGTGGTCTTGCAGTTTTCTAAACAAACTGCTGGACTTAATATGGAGCCATGCCCGAATTTTATTGATTTTTTAAATTATTTAAATCAAGACATC